AAAACTTCAGAAATCTTTAAACATTGGATAATAACCACATTTAAATGATAAATTAATTAAACGAATTAATTAAATGAATTAATATAGATATATTTAAAAAAATAGAAACACAACAATAGAGTGACGAGTATCAGATTTAAATAAATGCACAACATTAGAAATCGTTAAACAATTTGGAAAATTACCACATTTGAATGATAAATTAATTGAATTGAAGCAATGGTAACAAAATGCTATGAATAATATTTTTTGATACAAAATTTGAAATTAAATCATCACCACAGCTATGAGTATTTTTAAAATTATTAACCACATCAATGATTTCAAACGGAAGACATTCAAACAAAGCAAATGAGTCAGAAAAGTCAGAAGCATGATGGTTCATAAATCTTTTAAAATCAGAATTATGGTCGGATAAATTATTTATTGAAGAAAAATAGTTGTTAAAATGGTTACACAAGAAAACATCGTCAATATTAAAATCATTATCAATCATAATATTAATAGAAGATGGTTGATTAAGACTTAAACTAGTCAGTAACTTCCAGGTACGTTTACTATTGGATTTACAATTGACAAATTGAATATCAAAATAAAGATTTTCAGACAGTTTACATAATTTTGAAAAACATTCTTGTATTTGATATAGGCTAATTTATCAGATGAAGAATTAGAGCTCAAACTTTTTTTATTTAATTTATTTTTTTGCGGACGAAATAATCATATCCTCTTGAAGGATTTTTTACGGGAAACTTTACAATTTATAATGATTGCATTCTTAACAATATTGAAAAATGAATCGAAAGCCAAATCAGTATTATTACAGTTCAAGATAGAATTCCAATCATAATTTAAAAGATAAATATTTAGTTTAACAATATTAGAAGCAGAGTAATTCAAAGAAATAGTTTAAGGTTTTGGTAAATTAAGATCATGAATAAAATATAATGTAAAAATTGGAAAGGGATCAGAGAATAATGACAAAATAACGCCAGGCTTATGGTTAGAAATATTATTAGTGAAAATTTTATCAATTGATGATTTACTAGTGGCAGTGACATTAGTGGCTTTAGATATTAAAGGATAATAACTAACCAAAGGAGTTCAACCAATTTACAAACTGAGTAGAAGAATGTTTCAGTAAATCAAAACATTAAAATCCTCAGTATTATAAATATTTGAAAACAACACAGATTTAATTTTAAGAAACAAAAAAGTTAATTCCTTACAGAACAAAGAAACATCAAAACTAAGTGGACGATATTGAATTGAATTGAAAGAAACTTTTATTCAGCAAAAAAACAAGTTAATTACTAGGAGACCCGAGACCGAAGTCTGTTAGGTCACCCTTAACATAAGTAACAGAAAATATAATATTAATAACACACACACACACACACACACACACACACACACACACACACACACACACACACACACACACATATATATATATATATATATATATATATATATATATATATATATATGTATATAGCGAGTTCCATAATCGGATGGATACAGGAAAAACAGAATTATTAAAAAAGTTTGTGCGTGGAGTGGATAGATAGAACTCAGGTATTTTCCTGAGGTGCACAGAACGATTATACGGTAATCGATTTATTTGGTCAGATAGATATGGACATAGACGTAATTTCAACAATCTATAGAAACATAATAAAGATCTAAGAATAAATAAATCTTGAAATTTAAGAATGTTACATAAATTATAACAGTGATTGACATGTTGAAATTTATTTAATTTAAGAAATATTCTAATAAAATAATTTTGACATACATTCAATATATGTAAATTATATTTAGTAGTATAACCCCAGATTGAAACACAGTAGGTTAAATAAGGCATAATGAGAGAGTTATATAAAGTGTACAAGATAAAATTAGGCAATTTACGACAGCGGTAGATCAAACCTAGATTTTTAGTAATTTTTTAGATATATACTGTACGTGTTCCGACCAAGATAAATTACATGAAATGATAACACCCAAAAATTTTGTAAATTCAACAAATTCAAGTTGTTATTTATTGACAGTTGTATATTAAAGCCATTTGTACGAATTCTTGGCCCAAACAAAATAAACTTAGTTTTTGCAATGTTAATTCTTAAATTATTAGACTCCACCCATTTATATACTCTTGATAATTCATCATTAACAATAGCTATCAAGTTTAATACATTTAGATGTGAAAATAACGAAGTTGAATCATCTGCAAAAAGAATAAATTTTAAAATTGTAGATGAGTTAACAAAATCATTAATAAAAATGTTGAAGAGTAGTGGACCCAGGATACTACCCTGAGGCACACCAGATATAATAGGATAATTTAATGACTGTACTATTTATACAGACATATAGAGATCTGTCTTTTAAGTAGGTTGAAAACCAGTTAAAAGTGTGGCCGCGGACGCCATACACATAAAGTTTGTTTAATAAAATTGAATGATCAAGCGAATCAAATGCCTTGGACAGATCCAAGAAAACACCAACACAAAATTTCTTAGATTCCATAGCATTAGAAATAAAATTCACTACATCTGCAATTGCAAACTCAGTGGACTGACCAGCACGAAAACCATATTGATTATGAGTTGAAATATTAGAAAAATTTAAAAATTTTGATACAAACGATAATCAAATAATTGGTGTTAAAATTTACAAAAATTTCAACAATTAATAATTCAAAAGAAGAAGAATGAAAGTACAAATCATCCCGAATTACATATTTCAAACAAATTATCTCTAAAAAACGGACCAAAAAAGACAGACCCCCACCCCCACCATTATTACTAAACCGATTAATAGATACAAATTTAAAACCAGGCAAATTTATTAAGTCGGACGTAGCGTCGTTCAACCATGTCTCAGTGACAACGACAAAATCGAACCTACCATTACAAAAATCAATCAAAACACCCAAAATACTCAATTCAGTTTATTTATCGAGTAAACTACGACTATCAACACGGATAATACAAAAATTAAATGAATCAATAAAAGAATTCACACAAATAGGAAGAACATTCCAGAGAAATATCAGTAAAGATATTAACATCAGGATCAACATTAAGTTGCTGACAAAGTTTGTCATTACACATAAACGTATGGTTGCCCAGTGAGTCATTGAAACAGTTAACAACGGTTTTAACATTTAGCGACGAAGACTCATCTGAGCCTTTCTTTGACTTGGAATACTCCCATTCTCGAAAGAAAGCACATTTGAGCCAGATGTCTGGATTCTTTAACTTGGGTAGTTCATCTACTGGATTACTTTGGAGTCAATAAAGTAGAAATGCACAAATAAAAATATATATACGATACAACCAATATTTGATAACTTACTACATTGAAAACGGTAGAGGATTACCGAAGAAAAGTTTTTTCTGTATAAGATAAAAATCAATAAAAAAGCGGCTAAAAACTTTGTTTTCTATATAAATAAGTTGATAAATGATGATAAAAATACAATATGAAATATTGAAAAATTGAACCAGAAACTAATCAAACATGAAAATGCAATGTTAAGCATTTTGTGTTTGCAAATTTTGTTTGCCAGATGTTTATAATTGTAATTAATAATTCTAGGGCAAAAAAGCATGTAAATGTAATGAATTGTTAATTCCCAAAGATTGTATATAAACAAAAAGATTTAATACAGAAATTCTGATAAACAAAAATATTGGATGGGTCCAAGAGTTTGAGATCTGCAGTATCCAGATCTAAATCTGGATCCAGATCTTTAATTTGTAAAGATACGGATCTGTAGAGATTTGAATTCGAATCCAAGTTTAATATGCACTTGAAATTAAAGGTGCTATTTCTTTGTCTCTACCGACTATACCAAAGTTTCATCCCATTAAGAGATTCATTTAGTCAGTATTGATGTTGTATTAGTAATATTAAACAAAGTAACAGATGGTATCATTCACTCATATTCAATTTATTTGAAATTTATTTAAATAAAAATATATTTGTTCAATAGTCTGTTAATATTTTTATTAATATTCTTTTTAAAAAATCGTAAGTTTAAAATTTTTGAAGGAATAACTGCAACAATCTTAGCAGAGATTAAATATTAAGTCTTACAATTTTTTTATTTATTATCAAAAGAAATTTGCATTGAAACTCGTCATACAAGAGAAGTGCATTCAGTGTGCTAATAATGCACACTGAATGCTAAAGTGTGCATGAGTTTAAACAAATTTAATTAACTGCCTGTGATCTCATTAAAAGAAGTGGTTTAGAACGCTAATAAATATATAGTTTCATATTTTTCATAACTTTTTATGCTGTAATAAAGTAACACTTTAATCATGCTTATGACAAAAAGGACAATCAAGTTAGGTATATAGGCTTTATGAACTTGAGATCTGTGACACCCGAATTGGATGGATCTTGGTTTCAATCCAAGTTGCACGTTCACTTGTTATTAATAATGGTGAATTATTTTAGTATTTAATATCACTCAACTACTTTTTTCAACAAACTGCAAACGAGTTTTCGTTGTCCACAATGTAAATTAATGAAAGTTTTCATTAAGCGTTTCGGGTAGGTAATAGCTATGTGCCTATTGCATGGCTTTGGTGTATCGTAGTAGTTAAGTTGCTTTGTTCCTAACAGCAGTAGAAATACAAATTTTGCGGCAGTAATTATGGCAGCAATTTTTTTTTATTTAATAATTATTAAACTACTTAATTAAAAAATTATAATTTTTAGAAAGTTCTGACTAATCCATATTCATCACTTCAAAACCTAGAATCGGTTTTTAAAATGTTTAAAATATTTACATCGAACATTCTACGCGTGTAAAACTTGAATTTCGCATCTACTTTATACATAATGTAAATCTTTGCTTCTAAATCTTTGTGTTCTAAATTTATAATTATAACGTTACATTTTTCACAAACAACTGTTTATTTAAAATACAAATGAACGGTTATATTTGGGTAACATAACATATGTTAAATGGTTTTCTTAAAATGTTGCAAATGTATCAGGAAGCTATAGCCATTGTGTTGGATGTCGGACCGTCCATGACCCAGAACATGTATCTCGTAGAGTCATTACAGCTTATTAAAATGATTCTGCAACGAAAAGTTAGCACTTAATTTTTTTGTAAAATTTAAGATATTTTAAAAGGTTTGCTTTTATTTAAGCTCTTTTCAGAGTCAAAAGATGAAATTATGTTGATTTTGTTTGGTACTCGCACATCAAAAAATCAACTTTTCAATGGTCAAGAGTATCGTCATATTACTGTTGAGAAACCTTTGATGCAAGTCAATTTTGAGCTAATTCAATATGTTCAAAATATTGATGCCCACTATAAAGGACAGTCTGCTGATTGTAAGTCTCTCAAATGACAAATTTTATTACATGGCTATAACGTTTTCAATTAACTTTTCAGTTGTGGATGCTGTTGTGGTGGCAATGGATGAACTTAAAAGATGCACAGAGTTAGATTCTCTTTTTAAATATAATTCATACAAATTTCTGTATTTTCATTATGGATGAAATGCCTGTATTTTCATTATGGATTTCTGACAAAAATTTTTCAGTTGATTTAAAACTATTTGAAATCCTGGTTTTTTCAATTGTTTTGAAAATGCTTGATATCTTTGTTTTTTCAGTTGTTTTAAAGTATTTGTTATCTTGGTTTTTCAGGCATTGTCAGTTTTTATCTCCTGTACAACTTTTGACACCTTTTTCCCGAAGTTAAACTCTCAACTCTCAACTTTGGTGATAAAATTAAACCCCACTTTTCCTACAATTGAGTGTCAGTTGTTGTCTCGTGTTTTTCTTGGCTCACTATCTCAGAGTTTGTTACTGACAATAACAGTTACGTAGGATCTGAGAAAACTTCAACCCCCACTAAACTGCTAAAAATTCTAGCGTACAAAAACAAGTAACATAAATTATGTTTTTATCCAATTCTCTATTCCCATTGTGTTTTCTTGAATGAGCCCAAAATACAAGATGAAGTGTGACTTACTGCTATAAAAAATACTTCAAATTTTGTTTTATTTAATTTTAAGTTTTTTTTAATAAATATTATGAGCCATTTTAACACTCCATTTCATTATGTATTTTCTTTATTTTTCGACATTGTTACTACGGTTTCTTTGATAAAAAAACATTGCTGCTCATTTTTTCTGCATTTATTAATTCCGTTTTATTTACCCTATCTACAAAATGTACATAATTTTTTCCTTATGTATTCAGTATATTTATTTTTTTCATTCCTGTATGCCTGCGCTGGCCTACACGAGATTATTTATTACCTTGTGTTGGTTCCGAAAAATCAGCTAAACCTTAATTACCTTTCATTATTTCGGTTGTTTCAAAAGTAATTGTTATCGTCTTTTTTAGCTATTTTTCAGTATTCATTTCCTTGGTTGTAGTTTTCAGTTTTTTTAAATTGTTTAATATTTTGGTTTTAGTTTCCAATTGTTCTTAAAAATATTTGATATCTTTGGTTTTATTTTTTAGTTGTTTTCAAAGTAATTGATGTCTTTGATTAGTTTATAGTTGTTTTAAGCATAATTGATTGAATATTTTATTTACCAATATTTTTTTATGCTACAAGGGGTAAAAAGATTTATTCAAGCAAAAGAATAATTTTGCTCTCCAACTTGATGGAAAAATTTAATGATGACCAATTAGATGATATATTGGCTTCCCTTAAAGAATCACATTTTGAATTCAACTATATGTTGGTATTTAAATGCATGTTCAATGTTTACTTTAGCTAATTTGTATTGTGGATTTGAGTTATATAAACAAGAGACAATCCTAATGTTCATGTTTATTAATTTACTAAGCAAAATGGCTAACCTCTCTAATGTACAGAGGGACATGTTTGGAAAATTGGGAATCAGAATCTGACAAAGGGAAGACTCACCAGCAGGCCAATGGGGAGGTGAATGCTCAAAAAACTGGATTGGAAGTTATCAGAAGAATTCTTGATGAAGTTGATGGAGACTATTTTTCTTTAAAGTACGTTTTTTAACATGCTATAAATTTAATTAAAATCATCTTCTAGGGTCCCATTGTTATCATTTTAGAAATGAATGACTTTTGTCTAGCTTCACCAACTTTGCCACTTTCACTTAGTAAACAGTGCCAAAAAGGTACAGAATTCACCTTGCTCATTTCCATATAAAAGTCAGACAAAAATGTTGAGATTGTCCTGTGCAAGCGAAGAAGGATAAGATATGCAATAGTTGTCTCTAATTTAGACAGACAATGAAGAAAGATATTATTCAATATTAACCTCTAAGTTTAGGGGAGGTGGTGATTGACAAGCTTGGTTTAATTACTGTTTCTCAAAGAGAGTAGATGAAATGCAAGATCGTTGTCTGAGTTAAGAGGACGCACCTGTTGTGAGGCTTTGAAAAATAATTTTTTTGTTAAGATGTCACATCGAGCATTTTTTCTTGTAATAATATAAACGGTTTTTGACTTCAACTTTATAAAATAAATTAAGAACAAATTTTTTGATGAAGTTGAAGAAATTTTTATTTTCGCTATTCAGTGTAGTCATAAAAACTTTTCACCTTACCTTATAATCATTCTGACTTTTCAGACAACTGTTACCCTGTTTGAGTTTTATACAATCGAGAAGTGTTCGACCAACTGCTTGGAAAGCTAACCTAAAGATTGGATCATCTCTGGAGATCCCTATTTGCCTCTATACAAGGGTTGGTGGCTTTTTCGTTCTCACCATTTTATCTGTTGAATATGTTTTTTGTAAATAAATAGTTAAGGCGTCAAAATACCATCTGTTTAATTCCTGGTTAAGGATTCAGATGATGATAAAGATTTATATTGTCCTGTTAAAAATTTAATGTGTTTGAATAATCATCAAAAAAACAATTATTTTTTTAAATATTTTGTAAAAACTAGCTGGTCCATTTCTGAGTCTCTTACTTTTGTTTCCCCGCCTGTTCATTCTTTCATTATTAATCTATATCTTCACATCTCTATGATCAAACATCTTTTTGTTCAATCTTTTCTTCCCATCCGCCAACATGTTTGCCTACCTTGTCCCCCTCTAAACACCTGCAATCTTTCCTAACAACTTTGTCAGTCCATACAATATGTTCTCCTGAACGTTTGGATTTTAGTTCTGCCATATCTTTTTAAACTGTCTTCATTTCACTCTCACATCTCTAGTGCATAAAACCTCTTTTTATTTTACATATGTATTTTACAGGTTAGTGGATCCAATTCTTTCAATTTATTTCAAAACCACATTCGTTTGTTTTATCCCCCATATAATTGTTTAATTGTTCTCCCTTTATAAAAACTAAATTCAAAATATTGTGAAATTATATATATATATATATATATATATATATATATATATATATATTATTTTATAAATTCTACCGAATGTTTGGCGTTAATATGTTTGTAGCTCGTTTTTTCAATTAGATAATAAAGAAATGATACTCCTATGGATGTGTTTATTAAATAAAAATCAATATGGATATAGAGCACAACATTCAACTGAACTAGCAGTACTACATTTAGTACAAAACATATTAAATAATCTGAATAAAAAAATCCTAACCATAGGTGTTTTCATAGACCTGTCCAAGGCATTTGATGTTATTAATCATGAGATATTAATAAAGAAATGATACTCCTATGGAATAAGAGGAATAGCACATATATGGTTCATAAGCTATCTGCAAAACAGAAATCAGTATGTGTCGATAAAAAATAAATCTTCAAATAAATTAAATATAACTTCAGGAGTCCCGCAAGGATCAATCTTAGGCCCACTTCTATTTATAATTTTTATGAATGATTTTCATCTGGCTACTGACGCTCATCATCTTCTGTATGCAGATGATACTAACATTTTCTTCCCAACTAGCAACCCATCAAAAGTTTAGATGATGTTTCAAATTGGTTCATCAATAATAAACTAATTGTAAATTTTTCTAAATGCAACTACATTCTATTCGGTCCAAAAATATTGACTAACACAATACCTAATTTAGGTATAAAAATGAATAACCATAGCATCCCGCGTACATCCAGCACAAAATTTCTCGGAGTGATAATCAAGGACAACCTCTCGTGGGATATGCATATAGACTCGTTATCGAAAATAATTAATAAAACCATAGGCGTAATTAATAAAATTAAAGTAAGATTGAATAAACCATTAATTATAGATTTGTATTATTCATTAATCTATCCACATCTAATATACTGCAACATCATCTGGAGAAACAGCCCTGAAGTTCACCTGAAGCAAATTACCAGATGTCAAAATCGTTTCATCAAAATTCTATTAAATCTACATCCATATAGTCATGTCAGCTGTTATTATCCTGAACTGAAAATTTTAAACATAAAAAATTTGTACAATTATCATGTTTCTATCTTTGTGTTCAAGTTCCTACATTATCAATTACCAACATCTTTTAATGACTTCTTCGAATTCGGAAATGCTGTGCAGTCAAAGTTCACTCGACATTCTCCTCTGCTCTATACACCACCAGCAAGAATAACACTGCTTGGTGGAAGTTTAAAACATACCGGTCCCGGAATCTGGGAGAAACTTCCTGTTGATATAAAGACTACAAATTCCTTGCATTTGTTTAAAAACAAAATAAAGAAATATTTATTGAAAAAAAGTACAATTTTTATTTAATTAGAATCATGTAAATTGTGCATTATATTAATTTTGTCATGAATTATAAATTTACTTAAAAATTGTGTTAGAATGAACAATTTGTGAACGGTGGCCTGCGACTCAAGAATTTTGTTTTCTTTTAGCTTTGGTCTCCTAATCATTACCTAATTATTATTAATTTGGATTGATTGAATAAAATTTGATTTGATTTGATTAAATGTCAAAACACACATATATTTAACACAAAATCAATAAATAAATAGATGACCAAAAAGAAGTAATACTAATTCAAATGACGGTTTTTAGGATTTATCCACACAAGTTACTAGGTATGTACAAAAATTCAACACAATGATCAACAAACCTCACAACGAATTATTAACCGACACAAGAATTAAAACATAACTGCATGTAGTATATAGGAGACAGTATTTATTTCGTTTACTGCATGGTAGGTTATTAACCGACACAAGAATTAAAACAACATAATGATAGTACTGACTAATAAAGAACATAAAAAATAATTGTAAATTTTTTTTTTCATTATCACATTTAATTACAAGAACCGAAATGCTGCTTAAAAAGTAGCAACTTTAATTGTTTACAAAATAGAGGAAATGATATTCCAGGTAGGCGGAGTGAGGTTGGCAAATTATTCCACACCATCGGTCCAGCAACAGCAAAATTTCTTTTACAAATCACCAAACAGGTTTGAGGAACGTCTAGCAAATTCCTATTATTGGATTTCAATCCTGGATAACCAGACGTTGAATCACGTTTAGTCAATCTACCGACCAAGTACGGAGGAGCACGCCCATTTAAAACTTTGAACATCAAAACAGCAATCTTGTAGATAATTCTCTTTTCAATCGGAAGCCAGTGCAGATCCCGTAAAATCGGCGTCACATGATCAGATCTAAAACCTCCGACAACTAGCTTGGCCATGCGATTTTGAATTGACTGCATTGGACAAAATGGGATGACCTCATCATTAACAGTTATTGAATTTATATCTATTCTTGAAAGTTGCTGCCATGTTCCAATTGGTAAAAAAACAGTCTTGTTTTGGTTTAGTTTTAAACCATTGTTTTGCATCCACTTATTGACCCCAGACAAACATTTAACCAGTTTGTTCAATTCTGATTTAAAAGAATCTAGCCTGCTCGTAACAATAATTTGCAAGTCGTCCGCAAAATCATGACCTGAAAAACCAAATGATTCTATTATCTTTAGTACTTCAGATGTATAGATCAGGAATAGAATATGACCTAGCACAGCATAACATTAACCTCAGATAATTTACCACCGAATGATACCTCTTGTGATCTACCTACCAGATACGACTCAAACCACCTCAGAACAGCACCAGAGATTTCAAAACTGCAACTTAGTCTTGTTAAAAGTACTTTGTGATCTACGCAATCAAATGCGGATGACATATCAAAAAAGACTAGCATTGCCACATTTTGTTCATCAATTGCCCCGTACACTTCTGAGAAAACTTGCAAAAGAGCAGTTTAAGTCGAATGGTACTGACGGAATCCAGATGATATTTCGGCAATAAATTGTTATTGTTCAAGTAACTGAGTGTTTGCCTGGCAACCACACGTTCGATAATTTTGGATAGGAAAGACAGATTAGAAATTGGTCTGTAGTTCCCAACATCATTTTCGTCTAGATTATGTTTCTTCAGCAGCGGAGTTATGATAGCATGCTTGCAGCCAGAAGGAAACTGTCCCACATTTAGACTGCTGTTTATCAGGCCTGCCAAAAATGGTGCGAATAGTTTTATAAACTTCTTTAATACGTGGGTAGGTATTACATCTTGTTGACACGACTTTGTAGGTGAATTTTGAACTAACTGTATTACCTCCTCTTCAGAAACCATAGAAAACGTTGAGAACAAACTATTATTGACACCTGATTGGAATTCTGCCAGGCTCGGTTGAGCATTGTTGTTGACACTATCTCTCAGCTTGCTTAACTTTTCATTGAAATAGCACATAAATCGATCAGGTGTTAGTTCATCCATATCCGAGCAGGATTTATCGTTACGACTTCCACAGAGAATGCTGTTCACAACCCGCCAAAGATTTTTTGGTTTCATCTTATTGTCATCAACAATTTTTGCCCAATACTGACGACGTTTTTTAGAGAAAAGTTCCGATTTATTTTTCAAAGCTGTCTTCCATTCATCTTGATGAATCAACTGTGAGCTTTTTCTGTATCTTCTTTCCATTTTTCTGCACAAACGCTTGGCCAACCTGCAATCATTATCAAACCACGGAGCCATACAAACGTTATTGGTGGTCACTGCACGAATAGGGACAACTTTATCAGCAATAGATTTTAATTCGTTGTTAAATAAATACAATTCCTTGTCTACCTCATTGCTTTGACATGCTTTAGAGAGTGGAGTTTCAAGCACGAGTTTGATGAAGTCATCAACATTCATCTGATTCCACATTTTAGAAACTTTTTTAATTCCAACCAAATATCCTCGAGTCATCGACAGTTCAGCCCAAATAAAACTATGATCAGAATAAATTCCACTTGGATGGACTAAACAATCATGAACTGGAAAATCCTCGGAGGTTACTATCAAGTCTAGTGTACCACCACGTAAATGTGTTGGTGCTTTTACACGATTGATGAGTTGAAAATTATCAAAGATATCATTTAAATTAGCAGCATAAGGACCATTCGTCTTTTCAACGTGCACATTGAAGTCCCCGGTTAAAATAATTCGAGAACTGAGTAGTGTAATGTTTTCCAGAATAGAAATCAGTTCTTTAAAAAATAATCCAGACAGCTGTGCAGAACCCGGTCTGTAAATAGCGAGCAAAATAAACTCCTGACTATTAACTGTGAACCTGACCGCCAAAACTTCGAATGTGGTAACTTTTTTTACATTTTAAACATAGACGAAAAAAAATTATCAATCCACCATGGTCGTCCTACCTCGTGATCTCTTACACAATCTACAAAGCGGTAACCAGGAGGAGTAGATAACGCAATGGAGGGATTTTCTGATGAACCATGCCATGATTCAGTAACAACAAAAATATCCAAACCATCACTGATCAAATCATAAATGATGTTGTACTTTGAGCCAATCGATCTGGGTATGACATAAAACTGCATCCACGCTGCCTTGCGTGCTTTTGAGCGAAAGGCTAGGCCCACCGCTTATAACTGGTGGTTGTCGTCAGGATGGGTGTCCCGATGTAAAAACTTTTCCCCAAATTATTCCTATGCCATCACAGAAAAACAACGGCCCCTAGTCCCCAGCAGGCCTTAAGTGGTCAAGGGGTGCCAAGAATTCCTGGGAAGTATGCAATAGCGGAGGGATGTTGCAGAAAAATTCAGAATGGCCCCTCTATGGTACTTAGACTTGGAACGCTCAATGTTGGATCACTGACTGGCCGCAGCATGGAAATCGCAGAAATGCTCGAGCGTAGAAGGATTGACATCTGCTGCCTTCAGGAAACCCGATGGAAATCGAATGGTGTCTGTCATGTCAACTCAGACAAAGAAAAATAAACTATTCTGGAATGGTCAAAAGACGGCCAAAAATGGTGTTGGAATTTTTGTCAGAGAACCGCCAGCCCAAGAAGTACTGGATATTAAAAGGATTAATTCACGTCTCATGTGGATCAAGCTTCGCATAGAAAAGCAAACAATGATTATTTTTTCTGCATACGCACCACAGACAGGCGAATCAGAAGAGATGAAAAATGACTTCTGGACTGCATTCTCTGACACCATCTCAACAATACCAAAATCTGAAACAATCCTGATTGGAAGCGATCTCAATGGCCATGTTGGAGAAAAAACAGATGGTTTTGACAACGTACATGGCGGTTTTGGCTATGAAAAACGGAATGAAGATGGCAACCGCATCCTTGAGTTTGCTGAAAGTCACGGGTTTTGTTTACCGAACACATATTTTAGAAAGAGTTTGGAACATCTCATAACATACAAAAGTGGGCCATCAGCCACGCAAATTGATTTCTTTGCTGTCATGCAACCACACCGAAGACTGTTCAAAAACGTCAAAGTTATACCTGGTGAATCATGTGTCGCCCAACATAGACTCCTTGTGGCAGACCTGGTTGTCGAACTGTCAAAACATAAGTCTAAACAAATGCCTCGGAGAATCAAAACGTGGAAGCTGAAAAGCAATATTCATCGAGAAAAAGTTCAACAGATTGTCGCCACACAGTTAGACCACCAATCGCAAGCCAGTACAGATTGGAGTGCATACAAAACCGTTTTAATGAACGCTGCAACTACAGTTTGTAGGAAAACTGGTACAAAACGTCAGCATGAACGTGACACTTGGTGGTGGAATGACAGTGTACCAAAAATGCAATAGCTAAAAAGAAAGTTGCATACAAGCAATGGCAAAAATCAAAGTCTGTAGATGACCATAAAATTTTTCCTGAGAAGAACAACTATGCAAAACGTCAAGTTGCACTGTCTCGGACAGATCAGTGCAGAGAGTGGCTCACTAAAAGCAAAGGTGAACAAATGAAATCAAACGTTGCTACAACTTTGCCGTGAAATTTGGAGAAATTGCTCAATGCCGACTGAATGGAACTATAGCATGACAGTCCCGCTATACAAAGGCAAAGGTGATCCATTGAACTGTTCATCATATCGGGGTATACGTCTGCTAGAACACTCCCTGAAAATTGTCGAAAAAATCATTGAAAGAAGATTAACGTCGTGCATCACAATCGGAAATTATCAATTTGGTTTTCTAGCGGGAAAATCAACAATTGATGCAATTCACATCCTTCGACAACTGCAAGAGAAGTACCTCGCAAAGCATCAACAACTATCACACATTTTTGTAGACCTTGAAAAAGCATTTGATCGAGTTCCCCGTGAAGCAATCAGGTGGAGTCTACGTCGACAACTCATTCCAGAATATCTTGTTCGACTTGTGATGGAAATGTGTACGAATACTAAGACTCTTGTCAGCACAACGGTTGGAAACACAGATGCATTTGACATCGGCGTTGGGGTTCACCAAGGCTCGATTCTCAGTCCACTGTTATTTATAACTGTGATGGAAGAAATCACAAAACCGATACGCACTGGTGACATTTGGAATCTAGTATATGCTGATGATATCGTTTTAACAGCCACGTCTGAGCAGAATGTAGCACAGATGTTTGAAGATTGGAACACCAGACTCGCCGATCATGGATTCAAAGTCAATATCAGCACAACCAAAGCAATGAACACTGGTGAACCCATCCAATCCACAGCTACTGGACGATGGCCCTGTTCAGTTTGTAAAGCTGGTGTAGGGAACAATTCAATCAAGTGTCAGCAGTGTAACCAGTGGTGTCACAAACGTTGTTCAAAAATAATTGGTTCTTTATCTAAAGTATCCAATTTTTTTTGTCCTGCTTGCATCAATCCACAACAACAAATTCGAAATAGCACTGTTTTTGAAGCCATTAAAATAGAGAAAGTCACATCGTTTCAATATCTAGGGGATGTTCTGGATTGTACTGGAACAGCTGAAGCAGCCGTTCGAGCACGCATACGTGCAGCCTGGAATAAATGGCATCTCCTTGCCTCTATATTGATGCGGCGTGACATCCCACTACCACTACGATCAAGACTTTATAAATCTGTGATACGTCCGGTGTTGTTATATGGTGCAGAAACATGGCCAATGACAACCAAACTGGAACAACAACTTCAACGAAACGACATGAAAATGCTCCGATGGATGCAACGAATTAGTCTGAAGGACCACATCAAATCTACCGAAATCCTGCGTCGTGCTGGTTTAGATGATATAAAGGACGAATGCCGGCAACACTGTCTGCGGTGGTTTGGTCATGTCAAACGAAGTGGAAACAGTGCCATAACTTCTCTTGCAGATGTTGAAGTACCTGGCACACGTCCCAAACGTCGTCCAAAGAAGTCCTGGTCGCAAACAATCGAGCAAGACATGAAAGCTCTAAATTTAAATGAAATGGATACAACTGATCGTCTAATTTGGCTCAAAAAGTTGATGGCAAAGAAACAACGTCCTACCTCGGGAAACCGGGTCTCTGGACGCAAAACGAAGATTGATTGATTGATCTTATATTTAGTAAACCCAATTTTATTTTAACCACACAAAAGTTATTATTAGTCCGATCATTTTTAATTCCACCAATATTTCTACCAACAGCACCACCTTTCATTACATTGTTATTACCTACTTTTTTTAGATCATTAAAACCACCACTTTCTTTACGATCATTACCGGTACCATTTGTTATTACGCAATCACTACCATCATCTTTACCACAACCAATTTTACCAATAACGTTCAGATCGCTTCCAGTACCACAAACCATCGAATAACCACCACCATCAAGACCATGACCATCATTACAACAACCAAAATTAACATTACCATTTAAGTCATTGCCAGTGCCTTTCATCATTAAACATTTATTACCGTCGAGAGATGAATCCAAATAATCGTTACCAATAACCCCAAGCGTCAGACTGCGAACACCAAATTCTTCGCCACCAACAACATTACTATTATTATTCAAATTAAAATTAACATCTTTTATGTTAAAATTGCTACCATCATCTTTACCACTAACTCTATCACTTGCACTAGTATGACCATAATTTTTAAAATCATTAACATTACAATTTGATATCAAATATTTTCTAATATCATCACCACGGCCATCATCATACCCACAAACATTACCAACAAAACTACTACTACCAATACTCTTTGTCGTCAGAGAGTCACCATGAAAGCCATCATCACCACCGACATCATCAGTTGAACACCTAGGTCTGTCTCTGAGTTACCGGAAATTTCACCACCCTCCATTTGCCAACCTGACCTCTTACACGGTATAAAAAACCCTTGTCAAAAGCTTCCAATGCCCTTGCCTCCTCTATCTTTGACCTCAGTTCCTTTCTCTGCTCTGGGGAGAGATCGTGACTGAGTCCGATGCGACCCAGGCTGACGTCAAGCGATTTTAATTTAGAGACGTTTTTAATTATCATGTTTTTTATGTCAACACTATCCATTTTCAAAAGCAGCGGTCGGGTATGATCGTCTGATTTTTTTCCGAGTCTAATTAGATGAACTAGGTTAGCATCAACAACATTATTTGACAGGTGTTTCAGAATTTTCATGACGTCCACCCGATCACTGCCACTCTCAAGAAATGAAACATAATTAGATTATTTTCTCTTTCTTTGATTTGTTTAGCATCATTTATTGTCGTCTGGACTGATTTTACTTCAGCCTTGATATCATCAGTGTGTCCTTTAATCCTGCGACTGACGATATCTGCAAATGATACTTTCATATCATTCTTCAAGATGTTCAATTCACCACGAAAAACATCAGAGCTCTCAAGTTAGTTTAACTTTTTTTTATTACTTTCTATTGCTGCGTTGATATTCTCGAGGTCTGACTTTATATTTGCATTCAAATCGTTCAATGTGTTGAGTTTGTTGAAAACATCTTTTCTGGGAGAATCGACAGAGCTGGTCAACTTTTTAATGTTAGGTCCCAGACTTGAGCATCTATCACAGAACCATCTGAGGTTGGTACTGGAATCCAAGAGGTTGCAAACCTCTTCACGGATTGAAACACAGTTCGCATGCGCAAAGTACTCACACTGAGAACATTTAACAGCCTTCCCCTGACCTTTCGCCTCTGAACATTGCAAACATTTATTTTTATTCATTTTCACCAAAAAACATGACCAACATTTAAAACATTTCATGACCATATATATATTGTCGGAAATTTTAAAATAATAAATAACAAATTAATGAGGAGGAGGAGGGTTTTTAAAAGGGTGACAAGGCCCCACGTTGGGCGCCAATTGTCGGAGATTTTAAATAATAATAAATTAAAATGATAAGAGGAAGCAATCTCCTCCTCTATCTTTCTCAGGGAATTTTTGTATGGTCCGACAATAATTTTTTTTTTTTGTGTATATTTTTATCGTGAGTTCGACCAGTCCTGTGTGGCACTGGGCTTTTTCGAATTATATGATTTTACTGAGTAACACACGAACGCGTAAAAATATTCGATAACAATTTTATTAATCGACGGAAGTAAATAAAAGGAATTGAACTAATGAACTCTATAATAATGTAAATGTCAATGAACAAACTGGAATAGAGGAATTAGAACTCTTCTTGTTGGGTCTTCAACTTGGAATATGTTTCTTGGCGTTTTAATCGTACAACTTCGACGTGTGTATCCGATGTTGATGTCGATACAACTCCAATAAATAAAAAAAAAAAAAAATGAATCACAAAAATCGGAGCCTATGGAAATTCCAAGCTGCGTGTGAAACTATACCAATGAGTATAGAATCCAGCAAAGAACCCTAGGTCCACAAATAGCACAAGAAACAAAACAACGAGGCGGATTCGTTTTCACAGAACCCAAGGCCTGTTTTCACTGGGCCTGTCTGTCAGTCGGTCGGCTTTCGCACAACCTTGGCCTGTTTTCACTGGGCCGTCGAGTCTGATCGGCTTTCGCACGACCAAGGGCCTGTTTTCACTGGGCCTGTCAGTCAGTCGGTCGGCTTTCGCACAACCTTGGCCTGTTTTCACTGGGCCGTCGAGTCTGATCGGCTTTCGCACGACCAAGGGCCTGTTTTCACTGGGCCTGTCAGTCAGTCGGTCGGCTTTCGCACAACCTTGGCCTGTTTTCACTGGGCCGTCGAGTCTGATCGGCTTTCGCACGACCAAGGGCCTGGACAACAAGAGTCAGAACAACACTGGTAACAAATTGTGTGACTCTAGTACGCGTGCGAAACTATGCCAATGAGCATAGAGTCTCGTACTAAATCCACTTTTGAGAACTTAAGGCGTTTCTGAAACTATGCCAATGAGCATAGAATCACGCGTTAAGTCTCTTAGATACCAGAACAGGCACTGATTACTCGAAGCTGCCTAACTGGTGAACCCAAGGCTGACTCTTTGAGAACTTAAGACGTTTCTGAAACTATGCCAATGAGCATAGAATCACGCGTTAAGTCTCTTAGGGACCAGAAGAGGCACTGATTATTCGAAGCTGCCTCACTAGTCAACCCAGAGCGGACTCTCTTTAAGTTTTTTCACACCCTTCCTTATCAAAACAAAATTAGATTTTGTTTCGGGTGTTTTAAAACATAAAAATCTACAAGGCATGTCCAATTAATCAGAAAAAGTATTAATTAGATTTTAAAATAATTTATAATAATTTATGACGTCATCTAAATTGCAAAACAAAAAAAAATACGTTGTCACCTATCGAGTAAATTAACTTGCACCATGCCCCCTATCGAGTGAATAAATCTCGCGTTGAAAATTTTGCAGTATTTTTAGTCAGCATTATTTCATAATTCTGACAATATATACTGTGCCTCTACTTTGTTGATTCTTTGTTTGTTTAATGTGAATACTTAACGGTCATTTAATTAGTTATTACGATCTTCATCTTTGTGCAATGTAACAATTTTACGTGTCATCATTATCGATGATTCCTCTGTTTCTAAATTTATTGGTAGGAAGGATTCAAATTGCACGTTGTTCAATATTTGTCGGATGTCTTTGTTCTACGAGTATTGATTCGGCTAGTCGTAAATACATATATATATATATATATATATATATATATATATAGATGGGCTATTTCGGGGAACTGGGTCTCTAGACGCTAAACGAAGATTGATTGATTGATTGATTGATTGATTGATTGATTGATTGATTGATTGATTGATTGATTGATTGATTGATTGATTGATTGATTGATTGATTGATTGATTGATTGATTGATTGATTGATTGATTGATTGATTGATTGATTGATTGATTGATTGATTGATTGATTGATTGATTGATTGATTGATTGATTGATTGATTGATTGATTGATTGATTGATTGATTGATTGATTGATTGATTGATTGATTGATTGATTGATTGATTGATTGATTGATTGATTGATTGATTGATTGATTGATTGATTGATTGATTGATTGATTGATTGATTGATTGATTGATTGATTGATTGATTGATTGATTGATTGATTGATTGATATATAGATGGGCTTGTGAATGAAGGCTGGATCAGTATTGGTGCTTGGAATGCTTGGACAATCATTAATATTATTGTTTAAAATTAATATAGAAATGTTAATGTTTTTTACGTGTGCATTTCAACAAGTTCAATTTATTGTAGACATTTTTAAACAAGTTTTGTGTTTGATGATATTCATTTGAGAAGTTGTAACGAAAAATGGTTAACCGTTACGGTAATCATTCTTTAATGCAGGTGAAAGAAATTAAGTTTAAAACTTTCAAGAACGTTTGCGCTCGCCATGTTGCTGCTGACATTGAAAGGTCAAGGTCATATCATCTCATTGACGAGAAACAATCTGAAGTTGACAAGTCAGATGTGATCGATGGTTAGTTTGATTTTTGTGGCTGAAAAAAAGAAAAATGTTAAAATAATGTTGAAGAACTTTTTGTTTTTCGACCACTTGAAGTTCATTTTAAATGAAACTTTGTTAAATTTTCCCAAGTGACTATATAGTTTTAATATCATTTTAAAATCCTGTTATAATTCTGAGAAACAACTACATGTTAAGTGAGACAACTTAATTCATGCTTTGGAAGCCAGATGATGTGCAATTTTGACGTGCCTTTATTAATTGAACCATCGTCGCAATGTTTTATCCATTATATGCATACATGTTAGGCCGCATTGAGCTTCTAAGAGAAACAAAAGGAGCTTTACATAATTAGTAATGTTTTAAAGATTGCATATGTATAATATACTTGAATCAAATGAGAGAATATTGGTAATTCTTGATTAACAACATAACTAGGTATGTAATTGAAAATTTTATCTCTTTTAACTTTCGCAATTTCAAAAGCTTGTTAACATTGAAGTAGTAGATGTCAAAAATTTTATCTAGTTAAAATATTTAATTTTTGAATTGTTTGTGCAGAGGCCACCTTGCTGATATATATTTTTTTATACCCACTTGTTGAACTCGCAATTTTATTAAATTTCTGAGGCCTTAAAATTAGAATTGATTCTGACAATTTTCGAATAACTTTTGTTTCTGTTTGCTAAGCTCGAATACATTTCTGCCTTTGTTTATTATGAAATTACAGGAACTTGAATAAAATGTAATAAATACATTTAAGGATTTGATGTTTTGCTCAGTGAAATAATTATAAACCTTGGAAGGCAACAGATACGGCAGCACGATCGTACCATTCTCATTCGATGATCAGGAGGCCATGAAGCTGCGGACTGAAAAGTGCTTCAAAGTGCTCGGCTTCACTAAATACGATAATGTAATTATTATAAATAAATACTAAAAGTAAATACATCATTAAATTAAAAAAATTTTTACCCAGGTAAAAAGGTATCAGTATTTTGGCGATTCAATGTCCGTTTGTTTGAGTGAAAAAGGAAATGAGGTTGTTCTTTTTTTTCCCGTATCCATTTTTCCTTCAGTTATACACTAGATAATCTAATGCTATGTTATGTTATGTCTTGTTATTACTATACGAATTTCAATCATATTGAACGCGAACAAATTATTTAAACGCCAAGTAAACGTTAGGAAGATTTTTGTTCAAACGGTTGAATTGTTTGAAACATTCCCCTCAACATTTTATAGTGGACGCCACGGGAGACGACAGATGTTCAAAATGCTGTTATACATGAGCTCAATTTATGAATATTTGTTGAAATGCTTTCGATTTTATTCTCATTAGAGTTTGTTGATTTAATAGCTAAAATAGCTATGCGATCGGATTTGTGCAGTAATTAATTAAATGGACAATTCAAATGTTAACAACTGAAAAGGCAGGGCATCTCTATTTATCGGCATTGATCAGAGCTCTCTTTGAAACAAGCATGGTGGCTATTGTGCGAAGAGTTTATAATAACAATGGACAAGTGAAGATCGGCTGCCTCATTCCTCACATCAAGGACAAATATGAAGTTGTTTTTTTTTCATTAATTTCGTTCTAAATTTCAGCTGGAGCATATAAACTTTTTCACATATCATGTCAGAATTGACAAAATTATATTACTTTTAAATACAAACATAATCGTTTCAACAGCTAAATATAAGAACATAAGCGTTCTTATTTAATGTTCAAAATTGTTACAACCCCTTTTGTTTGACATGTAATCTCGAATCTGTTCCTTCTTGTTTCATGCCGATGATTTGCTTAATCCCCACAGTGCATGTTTTACGTTGATTTACCATTTGCCGAAGATTTGAGACAGTACACATTCGCGAGTCTTCCAGTTGGACCTAATGTGCAGGCAAACAAGATGTTTCAGTGTACAGGTGAGTTTGCCGATGTTTCTTTAACGCTGTTTGCTATCATTATACGGGAGGTCGTTGGAACTATGACATTTATGTTGTTGGATAGATAAAATAGTTTTTGCTATGAAAATCCAACGATTTTGAAATTTAGATTTTAGACTTGTTCTTTTGGCGTGAAATCTCCCAAAGTTTTGAAATATCAGAATTGACTCTAGTATGGCATTCAAATAAAAGTTCTTGGAAAGCATTTGAGTAAAAATAAAAGGTGTTTGTAAGCTGTTTAAGTTGGATCCAGCCTAAGCATGTGATGCAGCAGAACAGATGGATATATTAGGTTGGTGCAAAAATAATGTCGGTTTTCTACCATCCATTTTAAAATGCAATAAATTTGCTTTCATTTGAGATATTTAATCAAAATAAGAACCATCATAATCTATGCACATTTGCTAACGAAAAATTATATCATTGATGACTGTAGTATAAAAATCAGGGGTTCTAGAGGCGACAAACTGTAAGAAGGCATTTTTTGTAGCTTCTTCGGTTTTGATGCACTTTTCACGCAAAAAGTTGTTGAGGTGTTTCAAAAAGTGAAAATCTGTTGGTGAGAGGTCTGGTGAGTATGGTGGGTGAGGGAGAATCTCGTAACCCAACGCGTTCAGTTTTTTTAGCATTAGTTGTGCGATGTGTGGCCTGGCGTTATCGTGGAGAAGGATCGGACCCTTTCTGTTAACCAATGCAGGACGTAGTTGGCGTAATTTTTGGTGCATCTCATCAATTTGTTGGCAGTACATCTCTCCATTAATCGTTTGACCAGGTTTTAAAAAGATATGGTGAATCAATCCAGTTGCAGACAACCAAACTGTCACCATTAACTTTCTTTGGTACAATTTTGGCTTGCGAAAGTGTTTTGGACTTTCATCATGGTCCAACCACTGAGCTGAACGTCGTCTGTTATCATATAGGATCCATTTTTCATCACACGTCACAATCCGGTCAAGAAACGGATCGTTTTTATTACGCAGAACAAGTGAAGCTGACACTTCAAAACGCCGAATTTTCTGATTTTCGTTCAACTCATGTGGAACCCACTTGTCAAGTTTTTTGACTTTACCAATCTGTTTCAAATGACGAACTACTGTTATGTGATCAACCTTGAATTCATCGGCAACTTCTCGAGTAGTTTTAGCTGGGTTTGCGTCAATAATTTCCTTCAGTTTGTCATCATCAATCCCGGATGGTCGCCCGCGACCTTCTTCATCTTGGAGGCTCATGTCACCAGTACGAAATTTTTTAAACCATCTTTGTGTGGTACGGTCAGAAGCACCGACGTCGCCCCATGCTTCCACAATATTACGAGTTGCCTCTGCCGCATTATGCCCGAGTTTAAACTCATGAAGGAAAATAATCCGAAAATCCCGCTTAGACAACATTCTCAAATATTGCTCAAAATCAAAGACACTGAATAGTTGGACCAATTAATTAATAAAGGCTAGATAGAAAAATAAATAACCTTCAAAATGATATATAATGATCAATATATTCAATAAATTGTATTTAAAAATTTAGTGATGAAAAATTTATAACATAAACCGACATTATATTG